GTGGCGTCAGCCCAGCTCACAGCACCTCAAACTCCTGGGCTCAAGCGATCCTCCTGCCTCAGCCTCCCAGAGTGGTAGGATTACAAGCGTGAGCCACCGCGCCCAGCCCAGGTTTTCAATTCACAAACTTTCTAATTCTTTTAATTTCCTCTGTATTAGTGTTCTTTTTCCCTTCTTGTTTTTAATTTTTACACTGTGATATTTCAAATTGGTTTTAGGTTGTCTGGACAAGAGTTACATCCACCAAACTGAATCTGTACCAAGTCAGATATGCAAGGTCACTTAGCCAACATTCTGTTACGGATGACGTAAACATGAAAAGAACTTTAAGGACTTTTTTAAAGTCTGTTTTTGGAAACAACCAAGAAGAGAGACAAAAGGCACTTCAGTGGGGACTTTAAGCCAGTGACAGCAGGCCTTATTCAGTGTGCTCGTTTAGCCCTCTGATGTATGGATAAACACAATATGCCCTGTAGAGCTTCTCCTCAGTGCAATTCACACTGAGTGATTTGGGTTATATAAATTAAAGATTTGCAAATAGTTTAGATCAATCTAAATCACAGCAATAACATGGAGACATTCTCTTGGAAACATTTTAAATCAGAAAAACCAATGATATCTACCAAAAGAAAAACTCTTAATTTCACTTTTGCTATCTTACGGGGTACAGAAAATTCTCCCAAAGCAGGCATATAGGACAACACTTCAATCTTGCTACATTAAGTATACTTCTGCAGGGAGTGGTGTAGGACATCAGTATATAAATAGCTGAAATCAGCCAGTACACTGGCTGGAATGAGGCAGAATTTAACCTGTCTGTCTTTTCATTACAGGGCTTTTGCTTTATGCATCAGTACCCAGAGGAAAGACCAGTGCTTTGTAGCAGGAATCCTACCCAACTTGACTCTGGAGTAATTTGGTTCTAGGTGAATCAGTTACCCTCAGTAAAAACAAGAAGAGTAATTCCTTCCTTGCCAATTTTCTGCAAAAAACAAGAGAGAAAGGAAGAACAGGAATGTTTACTTTTACATCTGCCTCATATTCTCCGGAATCTGGCTACTCTAATTAATATAGGCTTTGCTCCTTACGTACCATGTTTAAAGGCAAATGCTTTAAATAGAACAAATAGCATGAAACATTAAAATTTCTTAACAATTTTGAGTAGTAGTTCCCTAATTTTTACCAAAATCTTTTCTTTAGATCCTGTCAAATATGTAAAAGCCTAAGATATTAATAAATATGCCTTTATTAAGAAATAGAGCTTTTGAGTTAAATGGGGATATGAAGAAAAAAACAAAGAAAAAAAAAGAAATAGAGCCTCATCATTTTCCTGGGGGGGAAAAAAGATGTACAATGATCCATGTGATTAAATCACATATTAATATTTGTCATAAAGAGCTCTACTTATTGGCAGATACAAAATGTAATATAATTAATGAGAAGTTTTGTTACAACTGATTTCTTGAATTTTTAAATCTTTTTACTTGGATTCTTGAAAGTAAGCTAAAAATTTTAAATAGGTTTTGCTCAAACTCTTCCTCCCCCCACCACCCATCCTTTTGTTGTGTCTTCACATTCCTCATTCTAGTCTTCCATTTATCTGGATATTACTCATGACAATCTTCTGTTGCTCCCATTACCTTCCAAATACTACTCTACCTTTTTAAAAATACACTTGTATTTTTTCTCTTCTTACCTCCTTTTACTGATTAATTTGAAAAAAGTTTTTTACATTTTTTCCCTCCTGCTACCAGTGGGTAAGTGTAATTTGATTTAGTATTTTGCAGGACCACTCGTGTGGCCACTACACATGAGAAGATTTTAGTATTTTTAAACAAATTATGTAGAAAGGTACTCACCCACAGTCCCGTCTGTGCCATCCATTTCCTTTGGGATATAATGTGCAGAAAGATCACTCTGAAGGACTTCGTCTGACGTGGCTCTGGCTAAAGCAGCAGCCAAAAAGGAAGGGCAATTACTGAAAGAAAAAAATAAAGGCTACTTTCAGCAAGAGAATTAGGAAGTAATACATTTCATATGATTAATGATTAAATGTTAATTATAATAATGTTATTGCAAAACAAAATTATACCTTTAAACAATATTCAAGAAATATTTCCTGACTGCATAGTATATGGTAGGCGCTCTGGGCCCTGGGTATATATTGGCAGACATGGCCCCTGACCTCATGGGGCTCACAATCCAGTTAGGGAGACAGAAGATAAACAAGTAAACAAATAGGATAAAACTTAAAAGTCAGATAAGTTTTATAAAAGAAGCAAACAGGACACAGTGACAGAGAATAGAGAATAGCATGGGTACAAACCTTTTTCGAGAGCTTGGTATGTTTGAGGAACTGAAAGAAACCCAGAGGAGATGACACATAGTGGGTAAGGGGAAAGTGACAGGAAATAAAGTTAGAAGAATAGGCAAAGGCCGGTTACACGGGCATTTTAGACCATGATAAGGAATTTGGATTCTACTCCAAGTATAATGAGAATTCATGCAAGATTGTGAGCAAGAGAGTACCACAGTAAGATATAAGAATTAAAATATTGCTTTGACTGCTGTGTCAAAGGAAATTAGAAGGGAGCAAGAATAAAGGAGAGGCCAGGTGCAGTGGCTGATGCCT